CACATCAGTTTTCTTTTATTTATCTATGATTTAATTTGTCTAGATTCCAATGTAATGACAGAATCAAACAGTTTAAAATTAATTCACACACACACGCACACATCAAAGATTATTTTTTGATTCTATAAATATGTGATAAATAACAAACAGAAAAAAACAAGAACAAATAAATAACTTCATTGTTTATTATAATTCATCCTTTTTCATTGATACGTTTTCTTCAATTCGTTTTTGTGCTGCAGTCACATCAACAGTAACTATTGTTGAGCTTGTTACAGAATCTTCTTCATCATTTTGCCCAAGAATTGGTGTATTTTCAGTATCAGATATATAATTTGGTTCACCAAAATAATGTGTTGGTGTTAAAATTGGCGGATGAAATGCATATGCTTTAAGTTTTCGATTATGAAAATGACTTTTCCAACTTGTATTTGGATGATGATCATACATGATAGGTAAATATTCATCAACAGGTAAAATTTTTTGAATTGGATTTTCGTCAACAAGCATACGTGCACCACGGAGTGAAAGCGCGTAACCAACAGTCCAATGTGAATAAGATGGTTCAATAAGAAATGTTTCAATTGTTTTTTCATAGTTTTCTTCATTAGGTCGCATAATTTTTCTTCCAAGATATAATATATCCCAATCTAATGAACGATTTGACAAAATTTTTTCTAATTTATATTTAAAATAAACATCAAAACGAACATCATCTTCAAGTATCAATATACCATTTGAATATTCATTTTTAATCATATCTTGCCAAATAAAATAATGTGAAAAAAAACAACCTAATTCACCATAATTCATTGGTCGTTGATTATATGGATCTTCATAATTTGGTAATAGACGAACATTAAGATTTTCTAAATAAGTTTGATCAATTGCATATTTTCCATCAACAGCATCAAAAAATCGTACTGACATATTAAGTATATCAAATGTTGCTTGTAAACGTTCACGACGATCCATACGACGTACAAGATTAATAACATAAATTTCATCTAAACCAAATTTTGCTTTTTCTTTTGATAAAGGTATATTAATCAATGATGTGCGTGGAATTGGTAATAAATAGGCTTGTGATGGACCATTCAATTGATGTTCGAGTAACATATGAATGTAGAAAACCTGTATAATTGTTTCATCATGAAGTGCTTCGGGAAACTGTGCAGGTATATAACCAAATACTTCACGATTACATATATATGAAGGTAAAGAATTTTCTCTTGCAATAACATCAATAGCTAAAATTAAAAGAAGAAAGAAAAAATTAATAAGAAGTAAAAAACAAAAATTGATAAAAAGAAATACCAGATTGTGGTTGGATTGTTTTATAATTTTTATTCGTTAAAAAAACATCACGTATTTGTGGATAATTAAAATTAAAAAAGTAAAAATCTTTTATACCACCATTAATAAGAAAACAACCAAGTTTTTTGCGTTCATATATTTGTTTATAAGCATGAAAATCTGTTGTTTGTTGATCATTTAAATAAAATGTTGATGTATACATTTCTTTTGTTGAACGCAGTAATGGTGTCATTAATGGTTTATCTTTAGAAATTAATGTTGATAAAATTTTTTCAGGTTCTAATAAAATAATCATTGAATCAAGCATAGCAAGATATGTTATTTCAAGTTCAGATGAACGTTTCATTACATCATGTAAACGATTGGCTTGATCATTTTTTGTTTGTGCTGTCCATTCATGAATAGTTATTGTTGTAAATATTGATTGATCAGATTTTTTCATAGCTGATACCCATTCGTTTAATAATCGACTAGTTTCACTCTCAGCCATTGTATTAAATACATGATAGAGATGTAAATCTAAATAACATTGACTACATGGACAAATTAATTGTTCAAGTTGTCGAAGAAAATAAGGTAAAGCATAAGGACGATTATAAATATCAACATCAACTAATAAACGTTGGTTATTTGTACAAGAAATAGTTGATGATTCATTTTGTCCAAATAAATGATATTTTTTTGCATTAATAAAAACGATTAAAAATAAGAAGCATAGTAACATCAAAATCAATTGATTTTTCATTTTGAAAACAAAAAATCTGAAAAGAAAACAATAAATATAGTCTTGTTCCTTATAGAGGCATGTATGCCGTCTATTTTTCTATTATATCTGCTATATCTGCAAACTGTTCTTTGACCGATGTACTTATATACATCGGTAGAATAAATAGGAAGAAACGTATGATTTGCTCTCGTCAATGTGCCTCTGACACTGAGATAGATATAACCGCTACGATCGAGCATACAGAAAATACTATATATGTCTCTTCGTTATGATAAATGCAGAGAAAAGAAAAAAATATGTGCAAATGAACGTGAGAATATCTCTTCATCTTGGGATAAACGATATTGTTGGACGAATAATTAAACAGAAAAGCAAATAGAATCGAATAAACGAATGACAATGAATAAAAAAGTCAAAAGATAGAGAATTAATTTAGATATGAAATTATCAGTCTAGTTTACCACTTACATGTATTGTCATGTAAATACTTCGACATCTTCTTTTTTTCAAAAAGATCATTGTACCTATGATCGAATAGGATATGAATTGAAGTTGAGCATCGGTAGAATCACCATTTAATTCAGTATATTCAAATTATGAATTTTTTGATCTTGAAAAAGGACATGAATCTCATATTGTTGTGATATCACTTTAGCATGTAATTATCTTCTTTATATCATTCACAGATACTGCACAATTGTAATCAGTCGAGGGTACTTCTTCAGATCAACGACACCCCCTCGTATTGGTTGAACGATAAACAGGAAAGGAAAATTTTCCTTTCCTGTTTATCGTTCAACCAATACGAGGGGGTGTCGTTCAGTGTTTCCAACAGCAGGTGTACACAGCATAAGCAAAATGTACAGAACATCTGCTGTTTTTGATTTACACTCTGATTTATACTTTGCTCAAAAATACAAAATGTACGCTGTACACTTTGCTAAAAACATCTACTTGTTGATTCTACCAGGTTAAAAGTTGTATGTAATATTAACATCAAAGAGAGACTTTCTTTGCAAAATAGTCGATTATGAGCTTACAATCTTGAGTAAAATTCTACCAATGACCAGTATGATTTCTTTTATTTTGTCTTCTCGCTCTTTCTGTAGATAAGTAATTAGTTCTAACTGTAGAACGACTCTCTGCTTGTTATATTGTCATCGATGCTAATAACAATTTTTTTCAAACATATTTCAGATTTATCGTTCATACGTAAAAATGTTAAAAGAATAGAATCTTTATAGTTTCGATCTGACTTTAATTCTCCGTATGAAGACGAAGATAAAAATCAAGACAACAGGTGTTTTGTTGATATCGTGTTTGAAAAAAAATCCTAAATTAAAATTATTATATTTTTAGTATAAGCTCATAGTTTTTTTCTTAATTGTTTCTTCGTAAATGGACTGTTAGATTCTGGAAAAGTGCGCTTGTTCTTCATTCGTTTGTTCGCCAACTATTAATTTATACTCATCATTAAAAACGTTGTCTTTTGTTTCTTATATTAAGAAAACATTAGTTTTTAGTACACTTTGTACATCTTGGTACCAAAAACAAACTGTAAATGTACATTTTGACTATATTAGCAAAGTGTACGCGTACATTTTGTTTTCGATTTCCATTGGAAACACTGGTGTCGTTGATCTGAAGATGTACCCAGTCGAGAATGCATCAACCAATCTGGTGCGATCATTTTATTAAATTTTTTCTAGTTTGAAAAAGTTTCGTTTCTTTTTCATCTTTGTATAGGTTTTTTATTACTACGAAAATAATAGAGATCATGTCACAGTTATAAAAATATGCAAGTGATCATAAAATTTGATAGTCGTGCTTTTCCAACTTCAGCCGGATATGCGCTGACCTGAAAACTTCGTCTAGTTTTTTAATTATTTGCATTCTTCGTTTGAAATTATTTTAAGAAATTATTATTTTCTGAGTTAAAAATTAAATTACAACTTAGTCAAGAATAAAATATCAACCATTATTCGCTGAGATTTGAGAAGAACGAGAAAAGATATAGAAGATATTCTGAAATGGCAGAGTTTCACGGTTTTGATAAAAAAACTAAACTTGCTTATATAATGTTCAATTGGTGACAAACTAACCAATGTTCTCAATTTTCTTTCAATCGACAAAAACTGGTACAGATTAATCGTTTAAACTAATTTCATTAATTCATTCTGGCATCGTACTAGACCGCTTATATCTCTGAGAAGGGTATGCAAGATAATGTTTCAGTTCTTTTGAATAATCGTAAAAGTGTGGTACAGCATGTCATATTCACTTTAAAATTTTTATATCCTAGTTCGCCTTTTATCTACTAGCTATAAGATCGTTATCATGATCTAGATTGTATTATGTTGATCAGATTTCACGAATCGAACGCCAACTCTCTGACTAATATGGCTTCAGCTTTTAAGTTCTCACAAAATGATGTTGAACTTGATACTTATTTTCTGGTCAAATAACATAAGTTTTCAATAATAACCATTGATTCTATTAAAGACAGCAAAATCGAAAAATTGTCTCTCCAAACTCCTATTACTAGATTTACAACAAGAAACTGTTTGTATAAAAATCATTGACTGAAGTAAAAATAAATCATAATAAATTTCTGAAAATATTAAAAGCAGCATATTACATGCGTGATTCTCGTCAATTATTATATAATTGCCAATATCTCGCTTTAGAGTGTAACAAAATTTATGTAATCTTTGTAATTAGTTTTGCATCAAAGATAAAATGACATGATTTTCAAAACAACCTTAACATCTTTGAATGCGTTCTTCATCTTAATACATTATTCGTACTCAAATCATATTTGATGCATATTTTCAAAAAAATCCGTTTGATGTGATAAAATAAATATTATAAACAGATATACATGGATGAGAATAAGTACATCTGCTGTTGATTCGCTTAAAGTAAAAGTTAGTTGAGTTAATCGTATTTTGATTGCATGGGCAAAACAAAAATGTTCTTCTTAATTCTTCTCAATTTATTATTACCATTGGCAAGTAAGACTGTTGGAAATATTTCTCATGGTGCGAAATTTCATGAAAGAATACTAGTAATACGATTATCATATTCTAGTATCAATTTTAAGAAACCTATGGCAGTTACTCCCATGATATTAGCTTTTCAATGGGTATTTTGTTCGAACAGTTATCGATTTGCAAAAAAAAATAGAAATAGAGGAATAATTAGATGCAGATATGATCTTCATCCTCTCTCTCATTCTTACGAAACAACATTTTCAACTAATCGATCATTTTTGAACTCGGACCATGTGCATAATTTTTTCACTGTAAATTTTCTATTTTACTGTAGAAGATAAACAATAAAATAACTAGCTAGTTGATGTTATTATAAGAAAAAAATACCAAGAAAAATAATATATACATAATTTTGTTTTTGATTTAGTTGCTGATATTCCATTGGAATGGATCAATTGTAGTACATGGACTGATCAATTATCGATTGAAAAAGTCGAAGCAAACATATGGCCACCTAAAAGAAATGAATTATTAACAGTGTCTGTATCAGGTGTGGCAAAAGAGTCATTCATATACGGTAACTACAACAAGACAATCGTTTATCGAGGATATTCTTTACCATCAGTATTCGGACCGTTAGGTGATCTTGGAATTAACCTGCCTACTTTTCCTGGTTCATTGAAAATGATTATATTTAATAGTACAATACCTGAAGTAGCACCTGAAGGACAATATGATATATATATCAAAGCACAAGAGCAAGATCATGCAGAAATTTTATGCGTTAAAATTAGTTGGAAATTTTAAGATATTTAAAATAAAAATCGGAAGTTTAACGAGCATTCATTTCAAACTTTGCTTTTACATTATTCTCTAATAAGATCAGTTTTGCATTAGTGTTTCTATTTGAACTCAAGTTTATCTTCATTTAAGGTCACTTTATTATAAAGAGGATGTGAACTCCACAAACTTATTGTTGAAATTATGGTTTCCAGTTAGAAAAAAATATTCGTATTCTTGAATATCATTTTCTATGCAAGAATTTTGTTGATTGTAATTAGCTTACAGGTTTTACTTAATTCAATCAAAATTGTATCGAGTGTTCTCTAATAAATGGCAAATTGATGCTGAACATATAAGTGTTGCTTGAAATCCATCGATTATTTTCAGCGATTCTTAGACATTGTTCAATGATAAGAAGTAGATTCAAAACCTATTCATAATCATTGACGAAAAAAACCGTCTTCTTGTCAGAAAATTCGCGAATATAAACGCTTTAGATTGATTTTGTTTCTCTCAACAAACAATTAAGCATGATGCCAATGAATTATCAAAGATGGATCAAAATAATAATTTTTATTAATAAATAGTGACCAATAATTTGTCGATATTTTATCGACATATGTATCGATCCGTAAATAGAGAGTTACGGCTCTTTTCAGACCGAATTTGGATCCAGAAATTAAGCCTTTGTAAAGTTCGGTTCTTCGAAAGCTTGGACCTACGACTCTTCTCATGTAAGCCTATCGACAGACGAATTAGAAGCAGTTCAGTCTTTCTAAAGACAAAGAAAAACATTTTTATTGAAAAACTTTTCGATACAAACATTGATCACTATTTTCCATTGTATGTTATCTCCTCTATATTATAATCTTTTTCCTAACAAAATCAATTAAAAAGTCAAAAGATTTCAGTTTAGATCTTATTTGTTAGTATATCAACAAGCAGTGAAATTCAATTTATTAAGATTTGCTTGTATAATCATCATTATCTTGATGAGAACTTCACAGTTACCGACCTAGTTTTAATAATAGTATTGATTCCGTGTTTTGTTTGTCTAATTCAATATTCGCTTGTGTAAACAATAGACGAATATCTTCCAAACTTGAAGGATATTCTCTCGTTTAAACAACACGTTTTATACCATTTTGAATAATTTTCTTTGAACATTGACGGCATGGATTATGTTTAACATAAAGTGTAGCATTTCGACATAGGCAACGACCTATGAAGAAAAACGAATTGTGTATTTAAAAATTTTGGTTCAGAAAAAAAAGCAGAAACATTGAATACCGGCTTCGAATAATGAACTTTCTTCAGCATGTATACAAATACGTTCGATTGACATATCACAACAACGCGTACATCCACCTTGATTACATGCTTTGATATTATCGGGTACACCATTATAACCTGTAGCTACGATACGTTGATCTGTGTCAGCAATGATACATCCAACACGATGGCGTACACAATTACCACTAAAAAGGTCGAGAAACAGATCAATATCACAACATGAAAATAATTTCTTATTGAATGTTGAACTTTTAAATAAGTTTTCTAGGCGTAGTGGCTCTAAATGAATATGATGTTGTTCAGATAAGAAGAACTTGAAAAAGAAATTTCTATGATCGTTCTAAAACTACTATTTGATGTCTCATTAATCCATGTTGCAGATAAGGATATTGCATAACTAGCAAGTTGAATATTCTGTTGCTTTTTTTTGTACATCAAAGATTCAAAATCTTCTCTTCAAAAATTTACAACAGTATACATTTCATTCAAAAGACAAACGCGAACAACGTATGTTTCAAATATTAACTTTTTCTTATATAATACGAGAAGAAAGTAGTATCACATTAGTCTATGAAACTCTTTCAGTAGCCATCAAAAGGACACGATCAAAGATTTTTTTAAATACTTTTTTGAAAAATTTCTTCTCCTTGATGACTTGAATGTAAGCGGTATAAAATAGATTTTCGAAGGAGCCCATTCGACTGATGATCTCTGTTTGAGCTCATATTTTTCTCATTGATAGAACTCAAAGTGTAGATGAAAATTCTAAAAAGATTCGTGCCACTAAGCCGTTTTTCGCGAGTTATAGAGGTTTCACTGAACTTTTTATCTATTGCGGAATATCACGAGAAAAAACGCAACGAGAAGTATCCACGTGAAATTCTTCCAAACAATAGATCTCATGCTCCTTATTATGTTCTGACAGTTTCAATTCAAACAAATGATCCCTTCTTAAAATACCAAACGCCTAAAAACTGAGCTATTTTTAGAGCTCTTGAGTGAAAGTAACGTTTTTTTTTGCGAATGTGTTATCTTAGAAGGAAAACATCCATTTATGCTGAAACTTTCAGAATATTATAAAAACCGTAAGAGTTATTGTTTGGTAGAATTCCAGACAGAAATTTATTATTGCAATTTTTCTCGTGACATTCTGAAAAAAGCTAATTATACCTATGGGTAAAATATGAGCATAAACAGAGATTATCAGTCAAATGGATTCGCTTGTCAGTTTATAATACTAACTGAGATGTTGTGTTATCCAAGCCAAAAATAAAAAATATTGATCCCAATTCCGACACTATAATTTTGTTATTTTTATTTGTTGATCTTTTGAATCGACCGATAATAGACTTGCTAATTTCTTTTTCAAATTTCTTCGATCATTCGTATCATTAATCAACCGTAAATCACAAGCATCTATATATTTGTTTCATGGCGATATGTTTTCAATATCTAATTGAATATTTTCTAATATCTTTTCAATATATTGTTTGTTAAGATTTATTCCAAACATTAAATAATCATCTAATTGAACAAAATTTTCTAAGGAGTTAATTATGGTTTGGTCCCACTTCATCGAAAAAATAAGACTAATTAGTCATTTTTCTCACTTCATCGACACTTTTTTTTTCCTATTTCATCGACAAAGTTTTTTTCCCGCTTCATCGAAACTTTCTATTCAATAGTATTTATTTACAGATAAATAATTTGGTTACAGAAATTAAGGAGAAGAGAAACAAGAAATGATGAGAAAATAAATATAGGTTCTATATCAGACAATAAACATTTTCTACCTTTAGTAGTTTCAGTAATCAAAAAAATCTTGATTTGAATGCATATGTTATATTCACAGCACAGGCATTTATATGTTTTTGTAGACAAAAAAACAGAAAAAAACAAAGAAATCAATGGAAACAAACACATAATGTTTCTTCTAGTATATTCTGCAAGACTAATCTCATATGTGAAGAACAATCATGTTTACTAACAGAAAGCGTTTATATGCCCTTTATGTTGATGATAACACTTATTTTAAAATTGTTGAATAGTGTCACCATGCTCTACTCAATATCTTTCTCCAACAGAAGCTTCTTTCATTAATATTTGAAAACTGTTCATTCAAAAATTTGTCGATGAAATGAGAAAATGAATTTGTCGATAAAACGGGAAAAAAAAATTGTCGATGAAATGGACTAATTAAGGAAGTGTCGATGAAACGGGAATATACCGTTAATTATCGCATGTTTTTGACGTTGAAATCATAGTATTAATGGTCTTTTAATAGTAATAGGGGAAAATTGAGGACTATCACGAATTTCGGTCATAGCTTTCAATGAATCGATACCCACAATTACAACATGTTTTGACCATGGTTCTTTCGCTTTTGAAAGACATTCTTTAGCTGTATGATATTTCTTCTTCTTAAAATGTTTGTACTCAAATATAATGAAATCATATTGTTTATGAAGACTATCAACAATTAAATGTTTACCGCTCGATAACGAATCGACTAAGCCAATTATTATAGCATTATAGTTGTTTGTTGGAAAATTCTAACAAATCTACAGACTAAATAAAACAAGACAAAGATATAGATGATATCAATTAAATGACTCACTTTTGACTCTGATTCGCTTTTATAGAGAAGAACGAGAAAATACTCCATTTCGCTTTTTTATTCAATCAAAATGAATTAATCTTGCTACCTAATCTTAACAATAGAAAGTTACTAATGTAATTGTAATGATCAGAAGCAGATAATTATTACTAACGAAGGTCAATAAGCCTCTATAGCTCAGTGGTAGAGCGCCAGTCTTGTAAACTGGAGGTCCGTAGTTCGATCCTGCGTGGAGGCATTAATATATTTTTTTCTTTTCTTCTCTGCTCCATCATAAGAATAATGTTCGTTGCATACAAGACAACCTGTCACAATGATAAAAGAAACACATACCTAGCGAACAATTTAATAGTCGCTAAGTAACTGTTCATATCTGTGATTAAAATAAACTATATGCAGTAAATATGAAATGTATCAGAAGTTTATCCTAACATCTATAAACCAATCAAGTTGCGTTTCATGTTTTTGTATCTTCACTTTTTATATTGTATCGTGCACATTCATTAACAATAAATATAAAATCAATAATGAAACATATAGGTTATTAATTTAAAAAAAGGAAACGCAAAAAGTTTGTGGTGTTTCATCTCATAAAAAAATATGATCCTGTTTTCTTTGTCTTCAAGATTGAATATATTTGAAATTGAAAATTTGTAGTCAATGACGTTTATAATCAATTTCAAATCTATTTTAATAACAACATTCATTTTCTTCTATTTCAAAAAATATTTCCGTATCTTATCACTGATAGAAAGCACTCATCTTCAAATTATTATAATTATTTTTGTTCAACTGTCAAATTTCTGCAAAACATGCAACAATCAATTCATATTCATCTTATTCTAAAGAAAATATTTCTACGTTGAAATGCTTTCTAATTTGTGTTCATTACAACATAATATATGACATACCGTTAATTACAGAATCGGGTGAACAAGTGCAAAATATTATTTTTAGGTGTACATATGATTATATAAGTGCGTAAAACAGTGTGAAGACAAAAATGTCGATGCGAATTTTGTTTGTTTTTTTTTGAGTAAAGGAAGAAAAAAGAAAGAACTCAATCAAATCACGAAACGAAGTTTATCAACTATGAAATAATTAATAACAAATATATGCTCAGAAAAAATATTTCAAATCTTTTTGTTAGCGAAACAATTGATACAATAAAAAGAAATGCTTTTATGATAGGCAATGAAATGTTAGAATTTTTGTCACAATCATTACACTATATTTATTAAGTATTTTCTTATATAAGTAATTCAGTAAGCTTATTTACTGCTTAATTGATTGGGCTAAGTGAAGAAAAATATTTATCAAAGATCATGTTTCTCATTGTCGAACAGTATACACAAAATTTTCAATTAGTTTTTAGAATGATAGAATAGTTGTTAATATTGATTGACAAATGCTATCTACAAAAACGTTTGATGATAATATCAACAATCGATTTACTATGGCAATTAATACAGTTCAAATGGGCTCCAATATATTAGAAGATGTTTAAGATTAGTATCAATCAATTGTCATTGAATTATTGTCTAGGAAGGACATGTAACATAAGTAAAGAATATCGTTCTATAATGATTTAAGGATAATTTATTATTGACTTATTTGCAAATGTTTTACTAAAACTTATCTGTATTAATTTTTATGACTTGACAAAATAGAATTAGTTTATAGGTGTCATGTTGAATATTTGCCGACAATATTGTATATATCTAAATACACGATTATTCAGACGAGCATTGAAATATTAATTCAATATCTATCTGAGCTTAAGCAATATGACAATATTCTCTCTTGCTACGGAATACATTGAAAAGTAAAAGTCTACTATTATCTTATTTATATTTTCTTTCAAGACTAATAAAATTTTTCAAATGAATGTTGATTTTCTTATATCATATACTTCAATAATAATTGTAGTCAAATATCCCACTGTACATAAAAGTATGTCTTCAGAAGATATCAGCTGAGATTCTCATATCAATTTAACTAATCATTTTAAGCAATGATAAATGTTGTCGTCGTAGAATTCAATAACATTTTGATGAAATAAACGCTGTTCATAATACCAAAGTCCCAACAAAAAGGAATAGTTGGTATTATTCATATATATATAAGATGTTCTCTTTCAAGTAAATCTTCTAAAGGAAAATGTTCAAGTATTGGACGAATTCCACTAAGCTTTTTTTTTAAATTTGACATTTTTTTATGATATTCAAATTCTTTCATTAGTATACAAATTGTTTTTGGAAGTCATCAATTGCTCGCATGTTAACTGTATCTAAATTTATGTGGAAATATATTTAGCAAAAATACTATTTCAAACAGTTCTCATACTTCGAGCCACTCTAACTTGCAATAATATTTAACAAATACATCCACTATGGCGACAAAGTTCTTCTCAGTTGTTCACATAAGTGAATCCCTATTGTTCATTATATCATGTTGGAATCCTGGATCGAATCTGATTGATAAAATCGATAAATTCTCGCCTGCTGAAGATAATTTGAATGACAATTGTATACTATTGTTTAAGTCTAAGTGATTAACACGCTTATTGAACAACCATAAGTAATGGCTACCGTAAGTGACGTTTCTAGTGGCAAATTTCTCCGATTTACTAAGTCGACTCGATGCAACATAGTAAATAGTCAAGCTAGAAAGTCGATCTCTGAGGTCTTTACTTAAATAATAACCAGCATTAAAACTAGTATGGATCTGAATTTAACTGAACGTTGGTTTATGATTTCAAGTGAGTAGTAGTCTTGAAGTAGCCACTACAAAATAGGTAAAATTAGTGAATATCACTAATAAGGCCCAACCACAATAGGACAAAAAAAGCTACTCGCAATATACTAAAAACTAACGACTGATGAATACTGCAATTCTTTTGTCGAATTTTTCTAAATCTTTTATTAAAGTTTTGCATTACTAACGTATGAACCATGTTACCAATGCAACTTAGTTGAGTGCGAATTCAAACCCTTATGGAGATATATTATTTCAGAGCTAATCTTCAACGCAGATTCATTCTAATTGACTTCTACCTTGATAACTTAGTTTTCAGATTGGCGAAGCTTTAAAAAAAAATAATACCACGTTAAACATAAATTTTCAAAGTTTTTACCTCGATTATTTGATTCTAAAAGCAATCCATAAATAGTTTCCTATCTTAGAGTTATCATCTACAAACGTTGATAACTTACAAGGAATTGTCTCTGTGTACTACGTCAGTTTTGGATCAAGACGATGGTAATTCAATAAGTACTAACGGGCAATGAAATAGCCTAGAGTGGTTTAGGTTTCAAGATATCCATTCTGACGAAACCGAATTTTTCCAGAAATTTTCAACCTAATTCTATAGTCTTCCTCAGTTCAACTTTGCACAAATAATTTTTGTAATACTGGGATTACTAGTTCGTTTTGAAAGTTTCAGTTTGCCTTGTTAGTTCTATGGTGAGATGCGAGTGTTGAAAATTCTGTTATGTGACAAAGCAAATTTTGTGCTTATGTTCGTATCTCATGATAGAAACTGCTAAAACGACTGAAACTTTTACAATGAGTAAGTCCTATTAAGAACATTATTTGTGCGAAGTTTCAAGCTGAAACTTGAAAGTTAGCCATCTAGGTACCTATGAGACTTTGCCGAAAAATTCTCTGAAGAATCCATTTCTTCGAAATCTTAAAAGTAAAAGATTCTAGATAAGCATAGATTATCAGCATCAAGTACGAAACATAATTACACACCATATTAAATTATTAGTTACAATAAGTGTAAGACTTACTTCTGGTCCTCCTTTTCTCTCCATTGTGTCTTCCAGGTAATTTTGAGAAAATTTTCGTTTCTTTCCAGAAAAACTTATTCTTTTGTGTAAGGTAATAACACGATTTTTTAACTAGTCATCACAGCTGTCGGTGTCATGAAAGGACTGACAGTTCGGCAATGCAAACATTAAAAAAAAACTGCAAAGTTAGTCATTTTTGCTTTTAAAATTTGACAATCCAACAAGGTTAGACTGTTTTCTTTCCTGAAAAAGAATTCTGTTCAAGCATACGGATACACGTATATTAATTTTGGTACTCGACGATATCGATACCTTACTTCACTTGTTTTAATTCAAAGTGTTTGCAAATGAAGAAAAAATAGAAAACTGTACAGAACATGTAAAAACAAAATAAAAATAAAAATAAACATTGGACAAATTTAATCAGATTTAATCCCATAGTTTTACAACATTGTCCCATCCAGCTGTTAGAACTCTTGATTTTTCATGCCAATGCCATTTAGCATCGATACATACATCATCATGTGCTTTAATTCTTTCAAATATACGTGTTGTTTTCCAATTCCAAATGGCTAAACGTCCATCTGCATCACCACTTATCACGTAAGACGACATATCAGATGAAAAATCAAGACCACATGCATAACCAGACACCTATAAAATCAACAGGTATATTCCTTTAAACAAAAATCTAAATATCAACAAACAATACAATTGTTTTTTTCTTACCATTCCCATACACGAATACTTTTATCATCAGATGTTGAAACAATACGACGATTTCGATCAACAAATGTAACAGTATTAATAGCACCTAAATGTCGATCATATTCTTGTACAACATGACCACTTCGAATATCAAACTAAATCATAAACAAAATAAATGAAATATTATATAATATATTGATATTAATACGAAGAAGAAAAACTTACACAAAGAATTTTTCTTATCAGACATTCCACATATAAACAAATGTTGTTTATGTTCACTTGGATTAAATGATACACAATAGGGTATTTGACGCATTGAAAATTTACTTTTTACTTCACCTAATAAATAAAAAATATAACTGATAATTTTTAATTTGAAAATAAAATTCATACCAGTTTCTGTATCCCATAATTTAACCACTTTATCATATGAAGCAGAAAGAAATTCTGTGCCTGTATTATTAAAATTAACATCACGTACAGCTTGACTGTGTTCAGCATATGTTCAAATACAACGACGTTCATTATAAAATTCCCACAACTACAAAAATGCAAGCTGTTAGCACAATCTTTGCAAGATTAAAATATGAAACACGATGTAATTGCTGTTATCCATCACAGGAAATATTGTTGTATTTTATCTCGTTTGAGACATATTTCTTCGTCACTCTTTTAATCCTTCAGAAATATACTAAGGAAGTAGTTCATATAATATAACGAGAGGTTATTGATATATCATCTTTGACTGTATATGAACAACGTCTGTGATGGTGTGCAGGGTAGGAGGCTTTAAAGTTTTACCTCTATACTCTAACACAGGTGTCCGAAGTGACTACAATAACTGAGAATTGTAACTGGTCGAGAATTTTTGAACTGATCTGGTTCAATAAATCTTTTAGATCAATGAACACTAGCAAAAACTGGCCAGTTTGTTCGGTGATTATTAATCAGTTAACGAAAATGGCTTTAAAAGATATTTATTTTCCGTTTTGCATCTAGATTTTTACAAATCTCCAGGGAGAAATATTATGCCAATCTTTTATACTTGCTAGCTTCCTCAATCATGAATACATTATATTTCTATATATAACGCGGAAAAAAGTCATTGGTCCATCAACTAATTATTAAACTTCAAATCTTGAATTTTCTCACTCAACCTGTTCAGACAAGCCTAAAGTTTTTCTTCAAATGACGACCTAAGCTTCAATTTGATCTTTACTCAAACATAAATGACATAAGTATCAACTCAAGTGATACAGTTTTGATTTTACTTTTTAAAAAATAAGATAAAGATCGATTAAAGAAATAGAAGTGTCGACGAGCAGAAAAAAATAAAACTAACAGTTCTTGAAACAACACTGTCTGACGTTTTTTGATAAGAGAAAGCAAACTTGCTCTCAACAAGATTTATCAGAGAAGAATGACATATCTGTAAAATATTTTCCTATCGGTCCCAAACGTTTACAACTCTGTTGTGACTCATGGTTACGACCTTGATTGCTGATAATTTTTCTTAAAAGTTCGTGATCTTGACTAAAATTTGATCACAATCATTCAAATAGCCACACATTCTGTATTTTATATACAACAAGTGACGTGTAATATCTGAGGCATAACATAAACAATGCCAAAATAAAGTCAAATTTTAGATGTATAATCTATCTTGTCTTGTATCGAAAGATTAACAAGAATATCTTTGTTGAAAATTAACTGTATCAGATTTCTCTTTGACAACATCTTTTTATAGTTTCAGATAAGTTGTTCATTATTTACTTGATTAGATCAGGTTTGTTATTTAATATTTAAACAGTTTTGTTGTCCTTCATTGCAATTCAACACATTCTCGTCGGTTTTACCCATAGAATCAATATTTATTAGATCTTCGTCAATAATAGATATTGTTTATGTAAAGAGGTTCTGACAAACTAAAACTAATTTCCGTGACCTAAAAAGCCTTTGTTATGTCGAACATTAACGTAATACTCCTTTTAAATCGTGCTTCACAAAAAAGTAAGAATTTTGTTTGTATTGAATAAAATTTTTTTTTTATTGATTATACTTACTTTAACTTTGCAATCCATTGAACATGTAAGAAAAAGATGAGCAGAAATGGGAAAATAATGAACTTTTTGTATAGCTTTTGTATGCCCTTTGTATACATTGTTTTGGAATAAAACATCGTTGTGGTCCATGTTCTCAACGTAGATTAACACCAACATCTTGCGGTATATGAAGAAATGATCGACCTTGATAATCATATGGATCTTTAATATGTAATGTTGTTGATGATGAATCTTCAGATTCTTTATTTAATGTTGTTGATTCAGGATCACGAGCAGATACTGGAGCATTACGATCTTCAAACGTAGGTCGTTTAGCTTTGCATTTTTTCGCCAAATATTCATCAATTTCTTTTTGTTCTTCCTAAAATAATACAAAAAAAAGTTCCTAAAAAGATTTTTTTGAATAAAATTTACTTCAGGTGGACGTGATACAGTAATTTCATCGACAAATGGAGCCCATGGACCATGAAAACCTTCGACATCACTAGGATCATTATTCTTTTCTTTTTTTCGTTTTTCACCAGAACGTTTTTTACTTGTTTCAAAAACAGTCATGCCTTGATTTATCTCAGCACTAGTTTGATCACCAACTATCTGTGATATATCATGTTCTCCAACACTTGAATCTGCTGCATAACCAAAACTATCGAATGTTCGTCGTTGATTTTCAAATTGAAAATCACTCAATGTTGTCGATTCTGCATAACCATTTAATACATTCTTATAACTACGTTGTTGTTGTGTCAAATTTGGATTTATTGGGCTAAACTGATAAATAAAAAATAAATTGTACTTTTTGATGTTGTTGTTGTCTAACTTACCACCGGTGCATACATATCTTCAAACTTTGGATTCTATAAAACTTCTCTTGTTTTCATATCGAGAAAACTACTCGTATCTGTTGGCTAAACAAAATAAAAAGAAATAATATTTTAAAATTCTAATGTACACTTTTTTGAAAATATCTAATCTTCGTGTTGTTCAATTATTTTAACATAATTGTTTTTTAAGCAAACATGACAATTTTAATTCTTATAACTCTCATCGAAATTTTCAGTATTAATTATCTATAAAAGATATAAAAACCTTGATAATAATTTGAAAGACTTATTCAATACAATAATATTATATTGTTGTAAATGTACGAATCATCAACGTAAGACATTATAAATAAACTTTAATTCTTTACTCTCCACTGATCACTGAAGTGATCGTTTCTAGACCGATGACAAAATGTAAACGATGCATTGAATTTTAAACTGTCAAAAATATGTTTTGTAGTAAACTTAATCACACTAGAAATTGATAAAAAAGAATTTATTGTTTCACCGTTCCGTTTCCGAAATGTTGAACATACAAAATCAATAATTTTGAAAAAAAATTGAAATATTTATATTAAATAAAATATATTCTTCTTTCAATAAGTAAAGATCTTTGAAGCTTGTTGTATGAGATAGATCCATGAAATGGCTTATATTAATAAGTAATATAAGTTTTCAAAATTCTACGATTGCTTGATAAAGTATAGACAATAAACCAAAAATTGCCCGTGTTGTCACGATGGAGCAGATAGAAGAAAACCGAGAATAGACTTAACTTGTCTATTGTGAATCTCATTACATACAAAGTTAAAATAAGATTTAATACGGATAAAATATGTTCAATGGTTGTACAATTTCTCAAAGAAAAATAACAACATGCGTCAAAAACACATGTGTTGTTTCAAAATTAGTTTTTATGTATTTACTCCTTTCTTTTTCGATTACTTCGATATAAGTTGCTTTTGTTCATTCAATTTTCTCATTAAAGAAAAACAACCGAAACTTCTCATGTCGTTCAATCCCTATGTTCTATCATATGATTAGTCGAATAATCAAAATCACTCTGCATCAAAAACAGGACGCCCGATGAATCTGACTAGAGATGTACAGGATAGGATAGATTGAAGGTAAGAATCTAATAAGATTAAAGAACGTGACAATAACACAATCATTGAAGTCATTGAGATATGTTGTTATTTGGTTATTGCCACATGATTATAGAACGATGACTATTATTGAACAACATCTTTCATAATGTCATTACTTGAACGAATTGAAAAATAGTTACTACATTGAATATAATAAGACTAAATCGATAGGAAATACAACTAAATCATTATTCAGTATGCCAACTAGTTCACATCAAAGAAAAAGAGTATCCAGTGTAACTAAAAGAATTCTTAAAGAGTGGCAACGACATTTTAATGATGACATTACGATGATTTATTGTTCATTAGAAGTTTTAACAAACAATTACGTTTGAATGCTTTGTAATAAAAAAATAAACTTCGTAGTGTAGGATGAGGGTTAGAAAATTTTTCTCTTGTTTTGATCACACCATCAACAAATTACAGAGGCTAATACTCTATTTATAAGATTATTTTATCAAGAGCTCTTTGAAAATCGCAGATTAAGAGTTTTCAAAGTTTATATCTACTTTAAGATATCTGAGAAATTTGAAGCTATTGATGGAATATTTCTATTGAAGTTTTTTGACATGAAAATTTTGTTTCAATGAAAACTCTGTGTTTTTTCTTTTGGAAAAACGAAAATTATAATGAAATAAGAACAAATAAAATTGGAATATTCTTTAAATTAAAATAATTTTTTTCTTAATTTTTATGTCTTATTAACCTGAATAGCAATAACTGGTGCTAAATCAAGTTTTATTTTTGACATAACAGAAAATGCTGGATCCGTTATTACAGCCACTTGATTATAGATTTCTTCTTCATCCTTTGCTGTACTTTTCTCATCATTACCATCATCATCATTATATGATGCTTGAATAGCAGCAAGAGCCATCTAGAAAAAAAAAATATACATTACAAATTTATTTAACTAACCTCTATGTTAAAATAAAAGACAACAACTTTATTTATCTGATCTTGCTGTTCGAAAGAAAGAAATGACATAAATAAGATATGAAATAACAAAAGAAAGAATAATATGATTTATACACAATAACAAAGATTTCAATATAACAAATGTTAACTGAAGTTTTAAGTTACTATATAATATGGCAGAAGTGTATTTGAATTGAGATTCTTTCGACATAATGGACATCGAGATGATGTAGCTAATAATTGACGACTACATAATGTACACATAATATGACTACATTGTGTAATTATTAAATAAACACCTGTATATTGTAAATCAGTAAGAGTTTCTAAACATATTGGGCATTGTTCAACATCAATTGATGATTGATGTTCAAGTTTATTCGATGAACAACAAATAGAATTTGTTTCATCATCTGTTAAATCAATTAACTCATGAACATTTTCAAAATTTATTTCATTAATTTCAATTGTTTCGACTAATTCATTAAAAGGTGATGATATTAGTGCATTGATTATTGGTGTTATTGATAGAAAATTATTATCAGTTACGTCAATGATTTGATCCTCATCTAAATCAGAATCTGAAAGCACTATAATTGTATGATCCATTTGTTGATATGTACTATTCATATTTTCATGTACTATTTCAATAATATCATCTTCATTATGATCATTTTGACTAGAAGTTTAAGGAAACGAAGAAATATTTAATTATCTTCAATAGAACGATCAATCTCAAACCTGTCTACTGGAATAATATGTTCATTAATAATAATTTCTTCTTCATATTCATTGATTTCAGCTGATGTTGTTGATAAGGAAGAAACAAAAACACGTCGACGACGTTTAATTACTGACTCTTGTTCATCCGATAATCGTTTCATTCTTGTAAGTTATTATTTCAATCAAATATAAAACAACGATTTTATACTTCAGAATTTTCTCTTCCGTGATTCATTTATTTATTTCTTTGAATAGATGGCGCTGTTTGTATTCTAGGTTTTGCTTTTTATTAATGAAAAAAAAAGTCTTTAAACAAAATTATAATTGTATTGTAATAATTTGTTTTTTTGATAGTTAATATTCCAAAATTGAATATTATGCATATAATTGGTTCTTCATAAGACATGAAGAATAGAACAAATAAACACAAAAACATAATTGTTCGTAGGATTATTTTTCTCATTGATTACAAATTAACGGGATCATCTGAGTAGTGATTATATTTACTGTTAAAAAGGTTTCATAATCACTGTTTCTAATGACATATGTAACAACAAGAACATCTACTTCTTTCAATATGCACACTGCTTTACATTTTGCATAGAATTGTAGCCGAGTGTAGGTGATTAACTTCCCTCAACAAAATTACACATTTTTTTCTAAGATGATTATGTATGTTTGTTACACGAAAAAATAGTAAATTTATCTTGTTCTATTTTGTTTTTAGAAATAAATTAATTTTTTTCTTTTATCCTTTAATTTCTTTTTGGTTGTATCATAGAAAAAGAGCAAAAGTATATTTTCCGCTTATTATCAATAGGCATTTTTTTCCTTTTTAATAGATTCGTTATAACACATCGTCATCGCACATTTTGACGCATTCGGCTTACGACAAGATGCTGTACACTAGAGCCCGTTAATTTGATCCTAGACCAAATTAGGTTCGAAAATTTTTGTCCTAACGAGCTCTAGTCGTGTGAGAAATGCGTCCAGTGCGCTAGTTATCGAATCCGATCAATCAGAACAAAGCATTTCTTGTCTTCCGGACGACTGTCCGATTCCGATAAGAAAGTTTCAATCAACTGAGCCCAGGTTACAAAACTTTCAATAAAATAGATCCGGATCCGAAAAATTAGGCCCGATGAACTTTAGCCTACATGTACACGTTAGTAGTGTCGAATATAAACAAGAGATTTTGCTTTGGATTCCCATTAGAAACGTTGATCTTAATATCATATCTTCTGTTTTTCTTTTTTTAATGATAGATTATATATATATATATACATATATAAATATATAGACAATATGTCATATCGAAATTATCCATCTCGTGAAGGAGGTAGACATCACACTGATCCAACATCATCTCGATTTAATGCAAAGTCAAAATATCATCAACGTGGTCGAGGAAATAATCGTCCATTGCCAAATCGTCGTCCAACTGCTGGTGAAGATCTTGATGGAATAACTGTATCAATTGGTCGTAATTTAACAACAGGCGGAATAGATTCTCAAGGTTCATCAATAAGAGGACGTCTTGTTAGTCGTTCTCATGCTCCTCAACAAATTCATTCATCTCGAATGAATGATCGTGATAATAATCAATCAAAATGGTGGCGAATATCAATTCCACAAGCAGGTGCTATTGGAAAAGAACGTGTTATGTCAACACTTAAAGTTAATTGTCTTCGACAATTTCAACCTTATCATGTAAATAAATAAAGAAAAAACAATCTAATTTTATTATTTTGTTTTTGTTTAGTATTTTATTGATCGTGATACTAATACTGGGGTTTTCTTTGTTAATGATCAACGTGATGCTGACATGTTGAAACGTGCTAATAGAAAAATTGAAATTCAAAATTTCGGCACAGTAAGTTAAAATCATAAAATAAAACTAATTATGACATTTTTTTTATTGCATTCTTTTTCTAGCTGAGTATAATGGTTAGTCAAGCGTCATGTCCAGTACCTTTGTTAGATGAAGATTTACGACGACATTTTAGAGTAAATAACGAAAAAAAAAAACATTCCGATAAATTATCTTTAATATTTAAGGATTTTATTTGTAATCGTCGATTTAATGCGCAAACATTTCAATTAAATTTATCGAATTTAGCTGATGATGAAGGTAAGTTCAAGAATTTTTATATGAAAACAAAAATTAACTATATTTGTGTAGAACTTAGCGCTCTTGGTATATATCCTCAACTGAATAAACAAGCATTTGTCCGTGATGTTGTTGATATAATCACAAAAAATCTTCAGATGGTTAGTATTTATGATTGTAATCATTAATGAATACGATCAAAATAGACACAGCAAACTTCTAGCTTTTTTATATTATCCGGTAGCGTAAAAGTTTTGCAACATGTTTTTCAAAGAATGTGCCACATAATATTCTATCAGAGTTGTTAAACTAAATATTTAAAACTATTTTTTGAAATATTAATAGGCCATTAAACGTAAACATACCTATTTTTATGTTACTTTTCACTGTAAGAAATCTGAGATAGTTGGGTTATTTTTACATAGAGAATACAAGTTACGATTCATTGTTTCTTGTATGTGACATTTGAAATATACTCGAGAGTGGTATAGTCAGTTTTCAGAAGTAGAAAACTTTTTATCTATGCTAAGTTTAAATGTAAGAACGTTGTATCTACTTATCATGGCACAATGTCTGAAGAAAGAACGTTTCTAGCACTGTAATTGAAAATCTTCTTAAGAAAATTTGTGACTTTATTGTACATGTGGCTGGATCATACACTTCCAACTTATTATTTACAATGAAGCTACAAAAAAGACATGAAAAGAAAAGAATGTTGGATACAATAATATTCCGAAATATTGAGTGTAATTGAAAATGAGAAAAAGTCACCGGTTATTGATCAAATATCAACAACTTGATAAATTATTTTTTTTTTATGTACTAACAAATACAATGTTCTCATTTAGAATACCAACGTAGACAATATTCGTAATTTTCAATAATTTAAACTTCTAATTCCTAGGTTTTCAAATTTCTAAAACAGCTCGAAACATTTGGTTTTGCAATTCTGATAGAATATTGCATGGCATATTTTAAAAAAATAAAATCGTCTTTCTATCAGTCTCTCAAAGGATGTACAGTATTGGTGTGAATACTGACAGTGATTCACCAACACTAACTATACTCATATCTGTGTTCTTTGCAAAATTAAGACATCAACTTTAGCACAATCTGCCTTTTTTATAGCGACTTTTTCCAGTGTTACAGCGAACACCTATGCCAAAATATCAGTGTGTAGTATACACTGTGTGCTAACCATACTCATAAGGAAACTTCTCCAGATGTCAAATATCTTTCAGACTGAGACGATATTCATTTGATTAGTACTAGTGAGTAATACAAAAGTCTAGGATTGCTTTATTCTTTGAACTTCCATTCTTGAAACATCAAAATTTTGCTGACTTTTTCAACAAAAAGCTGTAGTCACTTAAAAAATTGAGTTTCGACTTTCAACTTTTTACGAACTAAGTTCTTAATGAGATTCGTTGATTGTGTGACTAGTGTTCTTTTGGAGATATATATAGATATGAACAAAATTTGCTTTTATACATGAGAGAATTACAAATATTCAATATCTCATGGTAGGCGATACTATAAAAAAAACGTTACAACTTACCCAATGAACTACTCTCATTGAAAACGTTTTTGTACAAAGTTTAAAATTGAAACTCAAAAGTGAATTTTTCAATTTAACCACAGCTTTCTATCGAAACCAACTCATTCAAGACTTTTCTATTATTAAATAGTACTAGTCAAATGAATATCGTCTTAATTGAAAAGCGATTTAACACCAGAAGAGATTTCCCTAGAGTCGATGATGCCAATAATTGTTACGCTGAAACTGTACATCCCTAGAGTATCTTGATATTTGCTGTTTGTCCTTTTTGATTACTTGCATGTGTTTTGAAGAATTGTAATTTGAATAATGTGTTTCTTTTCTTTTAGACTCGTCAATTGGATTTGGGTTCAAATAATATATCAAATTTATATGAATTTCGTAATCTTCAATTAAATAATCTTGAACAACTTAGTCTTGCTTCAAACCAAGTAAAATCTTTTGTTATAAAAAATTTCAAGTTTTCAACATATAACTTATTTTTCTTTTCCTTTGTATTTAGTTAAAATCTTTCGAAGAACTTGTTCATCTTAAACAATTGACTCATCTTAATCATTTATTACTCAAAGATAATTCATTAATATCATCAAATAACAAACGAAGTATTTCACGCGATGATCTTATCAGGTCAGATCTATGAAAATTTCCTTTTTTCTTTTCGTGGACACTCACAATAAACAGAGACAAATATAAAACATGTTCTTAAATCGAACGTTTTATTTTTAAAGTTAAGTTTTTTCTTTTCTCATCAGTCATTTAGTTTTATTCAAATGAGAAAATAAAACACATTTAATCAATTGAATTCAGAAAAAAAAAGAAGTCTAATCGTAATCGTTTTGTCACTACGTGTGAATGTGTTGTACGTCGAAAACTCAAAATCAAGAGAGATTGAAAAAAAAAAATGTATTGAATTATATTCGATTGTAAATTAATTCATAGTTTTTTGTACGTCGAAAAAATCTTGTTTTTTTCCTGCAATGAAACAACAGCGATAAAAGTTATTGATTTTTTTTTCTTAATCAAATTGAATAATTAATGTAAAAATGGATGTCAAAAAATATTGATTAAATGACACAAAAAAAAATTTTGGCTATACAATTTTCTCATGTGTTATAAAGTAATTGATGGATTTTATTATGTCGACATTGATATATGTATCTATTCTTAATGTCTGACATCCAAAAATTAAATCAATATTAATCTTGTTGATTTTATTTATCAAATCAATTCAATAAGAAAACAACGACGAATAAAATATGGCTGGTTCTACTTTTTTTTTTTTTTGTAATTGTGATGAGAGTTATTTGATAATTTTTGTAGAAGTATGAATATGTGATAAACGATTTCGATTAAAATAATATAAATATCAGAAGTCGATGATTTATTTTCTTAGTTAAAGAATGAAAATAAATGATTTGTTGAGAAAATGAAAGAAATTCAAAACGAAAATGCATGTATAACGTTCGATTTAATCATGTATTCAAATCGCCAAT